AGACAAACATCATAATCGATCTCGTTTTTCTTAATCCATGATCATGATTTACAAAATCAACTCTCAATCACTTTGTCTTGTTTCGTTGGTATGGACAGAAAATCTTCAATCATAGATTAAGATGGTGTTTATTCTCCTCCGATGAACTCCCCACTGTCGTCACATCTCCTTGCAAAATTGAGTAGCTGAAGATCGATATAGTTAACTATGTTCGGAAATCAGTATAATATAATAGTTAACTATGTCTGGTACGATAATAGTTAACTATGAATGATATTTTTTTTTATTGTGCAAACTATAATAGGTAACTATGTTTATGATAATAGTTAACTATGTATGTTATTTTTCATTATGCAAATTATAATAGATGACTACGTTATGAATATAGTTAACTATGTTTGTTTAAATAAGTAATTATAACAGCATTTTCACGTAGTCAACTATGTTTTGAAATCAGTAGAATAGACAACTATACTAGATATTAAAATAGTTAACTATGTTTTTAAATTCGTAACTATTTTCAAAGATCAATATAATATGTAGTTTCAGAAATGGTCAACTATGTTATTAAAATAGTTAACTCGTAAATTTTGTCATTTTTTGTGTTTTTCTAACCCAAATTTATTTTGTTTGCCAATAGTAGATCTACTTTTTTTAGAGATGACACAACTTTAAGTCTTTAATGACAATTTTCCAGAGATAAAAAGAATAATATTATTTAGAGATTTTTTCATACTTACCTTAATTACATTTGTAGGGACAATTTCGTCCTATTTTTAATTATCTATGCTACTTGTCTAATTCTATTATTTAATATGCTAGTTGCCTAATTTTCTCTCCCGAAAGTGATATTCAACTAATTAACTCTTGTTTTTTTGGGTCACATGATATTGCCATCTTAAACTTCATTTCTCAATCATTATTTCGATATTTGATGGGTGTTCAGGGTTCTTGGTTTATTGATTTTAATAGATGTCTCTAGTTGTAATTATTAGGTATGACATAAATATCCGTTACTCGCTCCGTACTCGGCTTAAAAAAGTAAGTACTTGTCCCAGTCAAGTCGAGTAACAAGTCAACATATTACATTACTTACAAATTCGAGCCAAGTACCAAGTCAGTAATTTTTATTTATTATTTGGCATGTTACTCGGCTTAATACTCGTTTATATTACTTAGGTTGATACTCGTTAATAATATTCATAAAAAATTATTTCATACCCATTTATATTACTTGATACTCATGGGTTAAGGTCTTTCACATTTAACGGCATAACTAAACCAAACCATTTTCAGATATACATGTGTAATTGTTATGATCATTCTTACACTTGTTATATTGGTTTAATGGTTTTATAGACCAAAAACAAAAAATAATCAAGAAGAAGACTACTATGATGTGGAGCATTGAACCAAAAACTTGTTTTTTTTTATGCTAATCTATTGGAACTTTAATGTTTTGTGATTGTAGAAAGTTTGAATGTTTTGTAATTTGTATGGAGATTATTTTTATATTTAAGTATTTTCAAGTAGAAATATATATAATTTTGGCAAGTAACAAGTTAAGTTAAGTTACTTGCAAGTAATAGGATTTTGGATTAGTACTTGATATATCTAGTACTTGCTTCGGACGAATCAAGTATCAAGCCGAAGTTTATGTTACTTGAAAAAGCCAAGCCGGATCACAAATACTTAAAAATTAGTAAGTACTCGGTCCGTGCCCAGATCTAGTAATTATTAATATATATATATAAACTTGTACAAGTAAAGCAATACATTAGGAACTAGCATAGTCCAGTCTTAGCATAGGTTTCTTAGTATCGCTGGTTGAGCATCGTTCACCGGTGTTGAAGATAGCCTTTGTCGTTTGCTAATTAGCTAGCTCTAAATTACGAATGAATGTTTGGTTTCGGGTTACGGGATGAAAGTGCTTCCTTTAGCATGTTTATGGAGTTCCATTGACCATTCAAGTTGCTTCTCCTTCTTCAGTTTCCAGTTTGGTTTATACTCATGTAGAATTTAGGATCCTTATCGATACTTTTTCAGGACAGTTACTTCATAACTTTATTTTTTTGAATGTGTATCGA